ACATTGTGGAATACTCTCTGGAATACGGATTCCTGCGCCTGTCCCAGAGCACCCGGCAGCGCCTCAGCATCCCCGTCATGGTGGTGACCCTGGGTGAGTGGGAGGCATCTTCAGGGCTGGGTACCTGCAGTGCAGAGACCTCCACACCACCTCTGGGAACTCTTCCTGAAGCTGATGGTGCTCGCTTCCCACGCAGGAGAGCTGCATTGTGCAGCCTGTCTGCCTTTAGTAGGTCACAGCTTTTCAGAGGAGCTTTCTCTGAAATGGTGGAGCTTGGTTCAGTGAGCCCTGATGTCATGCCCAGCAGAGTTTTCCCATGTGGAGCAGGGAAGAGCTCTCTCCCTGGCAGAAGGCACTGTAGCTCTGGGCAGCAGAATTAGAGCCTGGTGGCCGGAGGAACTCTGCAGAAGCTGGGGAAGGTGCTCACAGATCTGTCACTCTGTGTGTGCTGCTGTGCCCCTGTGAGCACCAGCAGGTCATTTCCCCAACCAGTGTTCTCCTCTCCTGGCATTTGCTCTGTTAAAACCTGTCCAAGTCAGGAACACATCCTCATCCTGAACCTCTGTAGCTGTTAGTGCAGCAGAGAGGAGCTCATCACTGCCTCCCACTCAAGCTGAAGCAGAGCTGGATGGGGGTTAAGCAGCTTTCCTGTGCAGTAATGAGCAGTCAGGATGAGCCCCAGAGATAGGCCAGGCCTAGAGGGCAAATTCCCTTTGTGTCTGTGCCAGCACAGAGTGGCTGGATCTGTCAGGGGGGTGAGATTTTCCCTCCCAAGTTTGATTTTACTGCCCCAAGTCCACATACAGACACAGCTCTGGTGGCACAAGTGTCCCTTACCTTGTGCCTTTGTGGCTCCAGGTGTGAACAGTGTGAAAGGTTTTTTGTTTTCTCTCTAGATCCTACGAGGGATCAGTGCTTTGGGGACAGGTTCAGCCGCCTGCTGCTGGATGAGTTCCTGGGCTACGATGATATCCTGATGTCCAGTGTCAAAGCTTTAGCTGAAAACGAGGAAAACAAAGGTAAGGCCTGGAGGAGTCTCAGCAGAGGCTGCTTGGAGCAGTGGGTTTGTTCTGTGGATGCCTGACTATCATCTTCTGACTATTGATTAATCTGTAATGCAGGGAGCAGCTCCCTGTGTTATTGTCAAGGACAAAACGAGAGAGGCAGGAGGGGAGAGGTGTCTGGAAACGTGATTTCCTCCCACCTCACTGCCCTGCATGACAATGAGTGCTGCCCTGAGGATTTGCTCCAAATCCTGTTTCTTTAGCAGGAGCTTGGTTCTTAGTCTGTGGTTTAATCACACTGAGCTTTGTGCTTTTTCTCCAGGTTTCCTTCGCAACGTGGTGTCTGGGGAGCATTATCGCTTTGTCAGCATGTGGATGGCCAGGACGTCCTACCTGGCAGCCTTCGTCATCATGGTCATCTTCGTAAGTCCCTGGGAGCTGGGCAGTGCCTGGCCTCAGCCTGGTGCTGGGCACTGAGTGATTAAAAGCAGATAAGAGCTCTGCTGTATCACCAAAGTGTAGTTGGTGCAGGATGAGGCCTTGCTCTGAGGCATGTTTTTGTTTGTTTGGGTTGTTTGTTTTTTAAAGTTCCTAAAGTCCACCAGTGGAATGAACAGAAGAGCTGACCTAAAATGCAGTGTTGTTTTTGTTGTCAAAAGGGAGCTGCTGTTAATGTCTAAGTGTCCTTAAAACACTCTAGCTGTCAGTACAAGGTGCAGACATTTGTCTTCAGACTTTTAAGAACAGCCCAGACTGATTTGCCAGGAGTGATCAAGATAAACCAAATGATGATGTGTGAGACAAGATGTTTTCAGATACACATCAGACAAGATCCCAAGCCATAAATACCTGGTGTTTGTTGTCTGGGGTGGCTGTGGGTGACTCTCTTTGTGTGTGGCTGTCCCACCCATGGGGCAGGTCTGTGCACAGTCCCACTGTGGGCACTGAGGAGGAACTGAGTGCAGGGAGGAGCGGGATGGAGCACGGGAAAATCCCCGCTCCCAGCTCTGCGGGTTGGTGTGGCCCCAGCGCAAACATTCAGGCTTGGTCCCTTTACAAACAAATCCCTTACTGTCTGTTCCCCTGCAGCAGCACAGAGATTAATTGCTGTTTGTGAAGCCCTAATTACTCTTTGGGAAATGGCTCTGCACAGCTCCAGCTAATGAACGTGGGATGTGCAAGCCCAGGCTCGCCTGGGTCTGTGCCGCACTGCGATTCCGAGCGACTCCCTGCACCCGTGGGGCTCTAACCTGCCTCCCCTCCTCTCTCCTCTTCCAGACTCTCTCTGTCTCCATGCTGCTGCGCTACTCACACCATCAGATCTTTGTCTTCATTGGTAAGGACTGGCTGAGGGGTTTGGGCTGTGCTGGGCGCTGTGCCTGCTGCAGCACGGGGTGTTGTAGAGTCACAGCAGGTTTGGGTTGGAAGGACCTTGAGGATCATTGGATCCAGTTTAAAAGGGTCCTACCTGTAGGTGCACAGGGAGTTCATCCTTCTGCTCCCATCACTGCACTTGCCAGAGCTTATTCTCTGTCCTGAGAAGCATTGGGTGGGGAGAGAGGATGTGGCTGCACTGTGGGGTGGAGGGTTCTGTGACTCTCTCCATGCCTCAGCCTGTTTTTCCTCTTGCAGTTGACCTGTTGCAGATGCTGGAGATGAACATGACCATTGCATTCCCTGCTGCTCCACTCCTCACTGTCATCCTGGCTCTGGTCGGTAAGGACTTGCTTCACTGCTTGTGTCTGCAGCACGTCCCTCTGGGATCTGTGGGAAGTCTAATTCCCTGTTCCCAGCTGGCCACAGCAGGTGGTTACTGTGGCTGCTCATCACAAGGCAGAAGGCTCTGGAATTTGATGGCACAGTGAGCTCCATTGTCCTTCTGGGTCCCCTGGAAAGGCAGCAGTTTGTTGGGAAATCCCAGAATCCAAACCTTTGTCTGTCCCTGGAGCTCGTTGCGGACTTGCACTGTGGGGCCACGTTGCATTTGTACAATTTTAATTTAAAAAGCAGCAAAACCTCCCAAAATCTGCGCTGTGGGACGCAGCTGATCTGTGGGACGTGGCAGGCAGAGCATTCTTGTCTGTAGCTGATGTCCCCTCTGTCCCCAGGTATGGAGGCCATAATGTCTGAGTTCTTCAATGACACCACAACTGCTTTCTACATCATCCTCATCGTGTGGCTGGCGGACCAGTACGATGCCATCTGCTGCCACACCAACACCAGCAAGAGGCACTGGCTCAGGTGAGGGCTGCCTGTGGCCACATTCCCTCTTCCTGTCCTCCCCCAGCTGCTCTGATCCTTCCCAGCACCCCAGGCACAGCTAAGGGTATTATTTGTGTGGCTGCTTGGGAGCTGCCTCACACGTCACAGGGTCCAAAGTGAAATTTTTCCAGTTTGGATTTGGGTCTTGCAATCACCTTGGTCTTCCCCAGCCTCTTGTTTTGTCCTATTCATACTCTAATTATCTGTTTAATGAGTCTATGTCACTCCCTATGAGATGCCCCAGCTCAGGCTGCTGTTGGGAGTAGAAGGGAACTCTCATTTTTCCTGATTTTTCTTGCTTTCTTGTCCAGATTCTTCTACTTGTACCACTTTGCCTTCTACGCCTACCACTACCGCTTCAACGGGCAGTACAGCAGCCTGGCACTTGTCACCTCCTGGCTCTTCATCCAGGTGAGTCCCTGCAGGGCTGCTGCACCTTTCTCAAACTTCCTCTCAAGCTGGGTTGGAGGGAGGGATCCTTGTTTCTGTAAGAGATGGAATTTCTGGTTTGGAAATGGAGCAGCAGAACGAGGCTGGGGATGTTTGGGTTGCTGCCATGGGTCTGACAATAAGCTGATGCCACAGGGCTGTTGGGAAGGATTTGTGTCCTTCTGGAATAAATCCTGGGGAGGGTCTGCCGTGCAGAGGAGCTGTTCACGTCTGTGCAGGTGGGATCAGCTCCAAGCTCATGACTGATATCCTGTATCAAATACCTGTTGGGTGAATTTAGTTGTTGACCTGCTGCAGGGTGGGGACAGGGAATAGAGGATGGGCCAGAGGAATGCTGTCACCCTTCTTTTCCCAGCCTTTGAAAGCAAAGTGGGGCTGTAAAGAGAGAAAAATATAAACCAGCTTGCAGTAGTTATAGTGGAAGGGATAAATCTTTCCAAACTTGCTGGTGTCAGAGCAGCAGGATTCTTCAGGAGAAATTTGGTTGATTTGAGATGTGGTGGCCTGTGACACCTTTCCTTTCCTCCACCAGCACTCGATGATTTACTTCTTCCACCACTACGAGCTGCCAGCCATCCTGCAGCAGATCCGCATCCAGGAGATGCTGCTGCAGAACCAGCAGGTCGGGCAGGGCACCCAGACCACGCTGCAGGACAACCTCAACAACAACACCACGGCTGCCCCGGTGGAGGCCGGGCCCCGCCGGGCCCCGCTGGCCCCCGGTTCCCTCGGCGAGGGCGGCGCTCCGGCCGCCCTGAGCCCCGGCGAGGCCTCCAGCGTCATCGCCGCCGCCGCCGCCTCCGTGGGCAGCGACCTCAACTGGGTGGCAGAGACGGCTGCCATCGTCACGGAGGCCTCGTTCCTGTCTGACCTGAGCAGCAGCCTGCTGGAGCCCGCCGTGGTGCACGAGGCCGTGGCCAACGGGACCCCTCCGGAGGCGGCCGCGGGCTCGGGCTTGGTCGCTCGCATCAGGGTCAGCAGCGAGCACCCCGAGACGGCCGTGGGCTCCATCACCATCGAGGTCACCTCAACGTCCGTGGTGGCTGCAGCAGATGCTTCCCCTGCTGCTGGGGCTGCCCCGCTGCAGGAGGGGGTGGTCTCCAGTCCCTCCCTTCCCAAGCAGACTGAGGCTCTGGAGGGCTCAAACAGCCGAGCAAAACCCGGTGGTAAAAACTGCACGGGCAGCAGCGGCGTGGCAGAGCCACTGCCAGCCTCGGGGGGGGACAGTGACCAGGACAGAGGTTTGGAGGACCGGGGGGAGAGCAGCCCCTGCCCAGCACCAGCAGAGAGAACGCCCAGCTCAGAGCCAAGCTCCAGGAACCTGTCCTGAGCCCCGTTGCTGTCACTCTGGACTGCCAGGAAGACATTTGGATTTTGTTTGTTACTATTTCTCACTTCACCATCATCCTTAACCCATGGATCCCTCTGAGCAGAGCTGAAGCAGCTGGGACAGAGCAGGGCTGCTGTGACCTCTCTCCCCTAGGAAAGGCACTGGGGGGCTGTGGGAAGGATGGGGGGTTTTGGTCCTCTGGCTCCTCTGAGGCCACAGGTGAGCCAGCTACCTGTTCCCACCCTGCCCAGCTCGTGCCCTGGCTTTTCCTTGTCCCCCAATCCCTGGATTTGCCCTGCAGCTGTGTTTGCAGTCCAGGTGCTGATCCCAGGTGGGAGCTGGCCTGGGACAGGCCACAGGCATGGCAGCTTTGTGGTTAGAGTAGGAGTGGATGGAACAAGCAGAGTGTCCAGCGCCTGTGGGAGAACCACAGAGGTGATTCCTGGTCACCTTTCCTGCTCCTGAGGGGAGGAGGAGCTCTTACCTTCCCCAGGCACAAAGTCTGCCCAGGCTAGGGCACAACCAAAGCAGAAAGCTGCAGTTCAGCCCCTTTTTTTTCTGTCCTTGAACTTGCCATGGTGGGTGGGTTGGGAGGCGGAAGGTGCTGTGTGCAGGTGGGAGCTGCCATCCCAGGAGCCGTGAGTGCTGCAGTGGGGTGAGTGAGGGCAGCAGCTCTGTCCATCCTGCACAGCTCTGCTCTGGGTGAAGCAGCTGCTTTCCAGTGCCTTGTCCCTGCTGGGGGACACGTCTGTGTTTAGGATCAGCCCCATCCCAGAGGAGAGAACGGCTCCTCATGCCTGGATTGTTGCATGAGCTGATATAGCAAAGAACCAAAACACTAAAAAGCCAAGACATTTCAGCTGGTTTTCCCACGTTTCCCTGGCAGTGGAGGTGAGGCTGGCAGAGCCTGGCCTGTCCCAGGAGGCTGAGCTGGGGGTGCTGCCTGTGTTCCCCTGCAGAAGGGCCAGATCCATGCCAGGGTTTGTGCAGGGAGCTGGAGCAGAGTGAGGCAGGATGAAGCTCTGGGAGAACCATGGTGGGACAGGGCAGGGACAGGAGGTGACATGTGGGCACTTGGCTCTCTTGGGGACAGCTGGGTCCCTGCACAGATGTCCCTGAGTTCAGTGTTTTCCCCTATGGCTGAGCAGTGTCTGGAGTCCCTCCCCTCGGGGGGCTCCGTGCGTTTCAGTGTTACCTTATCAACACAGGGGGGCTCAGAGCCCCCTCCTCACCCCTCTGCCTTTCCCACCTGGGTGCCCCCTTTTTGTTTTTTCCTTTTTTACCTGGAGCAGCCTTGGTGCTGTTCCAGGGCAGGGGGGACCCTGCTGTGACCAGCAGGTCAAATCTTGCTGCTGCCCTCACTCCTGAGAAGGAACCTTGTGGCCAACTGGAGTGCCAGGAATGACCATGATGGGCTTTTCAGAGGAGTGGGTGGGAGGGGAAGGGGGGACACCAAACCAAATGATTTGATGAATGAAAAGTAGAGTTCATTCTATTTAATGTACAAAATGTGTTTGTATATAATAATAAATATTATCTCTTAACAGCTCCTGCAGCGCTGCCCCATGTGCTGCCCACGGCTGTGCTGGGCTGATGTGTGGGAGTCCTGGGGGCAGGAGGGTGCAATGCTCAGTCCTGGGGGTGCCTCCTGCTGTCCTGGGGTGTCACCATCTGTCCCCTTGCAGTGTGCAGGGGCAGAGGGCTGAGCACCAGCCCTGCCCCGGCCATGCTCGGTGCTGCCAGGGCTGCAGGGCTGGCTCCTTCCACAGCCGCCTGTAGGGCCGTGGGAGCTCTTCCTCATCCTCAGAGCCCCGAGCCGAGCCTGTCCCGCTCCCCGTGCAGCCTCTCCATCCCTCACCCTCCTCCCGAGGAAGGCTCCGGTTCTGCTTTGCGGGATCAGCCCGGTTTTGGAGCTGGAGCTGCCTCTCCAGAGGGAGGTTCCGGGCTCGGCCTGTCCTCCTGCCCCGTGCGTGTGGGAGCTTCCTCTGCCTCCTCCTCCTCCTCCTCCTCCTAATCACGGCCGTCCTGCGGCGGGGCTGAGCTGGGCCTGCGGAGGAAGGAGGGGAAGGGGAAGGGTTGTGTGGGGAAGAGGAAAAGCAGACTTGGTCTTCCTTGGTCATCTTTATTTACGTGGTGTAAAAACAGAGTGGGGGGAGTGGGGCTGAGCTTTGTCCAGCACTGCGGGGACCTCTCAACCCCCAAAAAGCATCTCCTGGTCCTTCAAACCTTCAAACCCCACTGCCAGCAGAAGGGATGGGGGAAAGAGGCAAAGGCTGCAGAGCTGGGGCAGCCCCAGGTCATCCCCCCTCCCTTTTTTCCTTCCACTTCTCCAAGCCAGAGGAGCCCTGCCCTGCCCCTGGGATGTTTTGGGGGCCCCCCCCCCCCATCTCACCTCTCCTCCCGGTGTTCCTCGGTGGCCAGCGGGGCGGGCAGTGCCCGGCCGCCCTTGGCGGTGCCCAGCACGGACACCAGCTCGCTCTTCCTCAGCAGCGCCGCCCGCAGCTGCTCCCGCATCTCCTGGATCTTCTCCTCCAGCTCCCGCAGCTCGTTCTCGCCGGCCGCTCTGTCCAGGGGCTGCGGCGGCCGCCCGTTCCCGGGGTGCCCCGGAGGGGACCCCTCCTCCTCGGGGGGCGCTTTGTCCAGCTGGAAGCGCACCCGCCGTGCCTCCCTCCGCAGGGCGCTCCAGGGCTGCGGCGCTGCCCCCGGGGCCGGCCTCGGCTGCGGCTCGCACCTGTGTGGGGCCGGCTGAGTCGGGATCTGGCTGCTCTGGGGTCCCTCTGCAGCCCCACAGGAGGAGGAGGAGGAGGCTCCCAGTCCCAGCCCTACCTCTGCTCCAACTTCAGCTGCTGGCTCTTCCTCTCCTCCGTGCCCATGTTGAGAGCCCGATGGATTTTCTGTGGGGAACAGGGCAAGAGTGAGTTAGGGGGATGGATTGGAGGTTAACGGGGCAGGGATTATTTGGAGGGTGATGGTCTGAAGGTGATGGTATGGAGGTGATGGTATGGAGGTGAGGGTCTGGAGGTTAACAGGCCAAGGATTAACTGGAGGGTGATGGTCTGAAGGGTGATGGTCTGGAGTGTAATGGTCTGGGGGTGAGGGTCTGGAGGTTTACAGGCCAAGGATTAACTGGAGGGTGATGGTCTGAAGGGTGGTGATCTGGAGGAGATGGTCTGGAGGGTGATGGCTTGGAGGGTGATAGTCTCTAGGTGATGATCTGGAGGTGACGGTCTGGAGGATGATGGTGTGGAGGTGATGGTCTGGAGGATGATGGTGTGGAGGTGATGGTCTGGAGGGTGATGATCTGGAGGGTTATGATCTGGAGGGTGACGGTCTGGAGGTGAAGGTCTGGTTCAGGTCTCAGAGGGATTGGTGATCCATGGCTGGAGAAGGTGGTGCAGTTTAGGAGGGAGCAGCCACATGGGGTTAGGGGTCTTTGGGACACTAAGCCCCTTCCCCTGGCCCCACCTGGCTGGTGTGCAGCCAGTAGTTGAATTTCTTCTTGCGGCGGATGCGGGGCAGGACGAGGCGGTAGAAGACGTGCTCGCCCAGCGAGGTGAGGAGCGAGCCGCTCAGCCCGATGCACAGCAGCACGAACAGCCCCGAGAAGTGGTAGATGCCCATCTGCAGGGTCTGCGGGGGGCAGGGGGTGTGGGCTGGGCTGCGGGGGGGGTCAGACCCCTCAGACCCCCGAGCCCCCTCCCCGGCCGGGGCGCTGCCACTGCACCTCAGTGACGGCGAAGACGCGTTTGCCGCAGGGCACCATCTTGTACCACTTGTCGTGCAGGAGGTCGATGAAGCCCGAGGATTTGTAGCGGCTGATGAACTCAGAGACGTTGGAGGTCAGCGGGGAGTTCTGGGGGAGGCCGATGCCGTAGCCTGGCCCCGGTGAGGAGGAGGAGAAAGGGGCAGTGTTAGGACAGGGGGTGCAGCCCCCAGTGCCCACCATGGAGGGGGCACCTCCCCACCCTGCGTGGTTGTGGCAGAGCACGACCCCAGCCCCATCACACACACACAGAGAACAGAATCCCCTTCCCAGCACAGCCCCCCCAAACCTTCAATGGCGAAGGGTTTGCCCACAGTGAGCAGTTTGCAGTCAGAGTCGATGGAGACCTCATAATCCAGCAGTGACTTGTCCATGATGAAGGCGTTGAGCTTGGCAGGCTCTGTCCTGTGGGGACACGGGGGGGATGCTCAGAGAGGGGCTGCATCCCCCTTGAACAGCATCCCCCCGGCCTGACACCCCTCCTAGAAGTGGGGGTCTCTGGAGGATGCACAGGCTCCAGAACTGGGACAAAAAATGCCCTGGGAGGGGTAAAAGGTGGGGGGAACCCCTCATGCTCTCCCTGCCCCTCACTTGAGCATGGTGACACCGTCAGGGGTGGTGGGGACGTTGTAGCGCCGCATGTACTCGTGCATCTCGGGGAAGCTCTTCTTGATGTACTCCTCAGCACTGCTCTCCCACACCGTGCCGAAGCGGAAGCCCTGTGAGGGGTGATGGAGCTGGAAGGAGGCACCAGAGCATCAGCACTCCTGGCCCCAGGAATGTGTCCCCATTCCCTGGGGATGTGTCCCCAGCCCTGAGTCCCAGGTTAGGTGTCTGGGCAGCCCCAGAGGTGCAGGAACTCTTAGGGGTGTCTGGGAAAGAGCTTCCCAAACAGCAGCCTGAACTCAGCCCATTTCCCCCTGCCCTGGAGCTGAGGCTGGGGTTTAACACCAGTGGGATACACACACAAAGCTTTCTGCAGGTCTCAAAGACCTCCCACTCTTAGAAGGGGCCAAGATGCAGGACTGGGGCTGGAGAGAAGAAGGAAGGTGCAAAAAGAAGGACAGGACCTCCCTCAGCCCCTTCCCTGGCCTTCATCCCTCTCCTAGCCCATCTGAACAGCAGGACACGCTCACCTTTGGGTCATGGATGCCTGAGAGCTCCTCAAAGGTCTTGTCCCCCACCATGACAGCTGCCAGGTTGGCCGTGTAGCTGGAGAGCACCAGGAGGCAGAAGATGGCCCAGAGGTTCATGAGGAAGCGGCCGGTGCAGCATTTGGGCGTCTTGCTGGACACAGTGCGCCCAAAGAGGATGGCGTAGCACAGGTTGAGGGCTGAGGAGTAGGAGAAGATCTTCATGCGGTTGCGCCCGTGGGGGGTCATTCCATAGGGGCTCTTCCACTCGTAGAGGGTGAGGAAGAGCGCGGTCATGTGCAGCGCCACGAAGATGCCCACCCACATGGTCCAGTGCAGGGGCCACATGAAGGCCCCGATGGGCGACGCTGTGTCCTTGGTCCTCACCAGGATGCCCAGGCTGGTGGAGAAGAAGGGGCTGGTGAAGTCGATGACTTTGCTCCGCGCCGAGTTGATGCTGAAGGAGGTGACGGCCATGTGGGCCGTGCCACTGAGCAGGTCCCCCACCAGCCCCGTCCAGCGCCCGTTCTTCCAGGCTCCGTATTTCCCATCTCCCACGATGTAGAGCTCGAAATCAAAGGCCATGTCCTCGGCCAGCTTCTCCAGCAGGTCGATGCAGTACCCATAGCAGCATTTCTTGTACTCCTGTGGCACTGACCCGTTGCCACTGCCAATCTTCTCAAAGAGGGTGTCCAGCACGGCCGAGTCGTTTGTGCCAGGGTCCAGGCAGAGCTGCCCAGCCGGGCAGTTCCCCTCCTCATCCACCTCCCTGGTGAACACAAAGGGATGCTCCACCAACGTCACCACTCTCAGCCGTGTCCTGGCCCCCTCGGCCGCCTCCCCGGGGCTCTTGTGGTGCCTCTGGCTTTGCCACACGACCTCCTCCAGCTCCAGCTTGCCGTGGCTCCAGGTGCCCGCTGTCATCCAGGTGGGGACCCCCTGCGAGTCCCTGCGCAGGCTCCAGATGCGGAACTGCTGCTCCGGCCTCACCAACGCCGTGTTCTCCACACTCACCAGCCCTGTCTGCCCGTGGAAGGAGGTGTTGGCCAGGAACCTGCCAAGGAAAGGGTTTCACTGCTCCAGTGCTCAAGGGATGAGGCTGGGAGCTGGGAGCGGGACATGCCCGACGTGGGCAGGGACAAGGTCAAGGAGGAGCAGCAGGATCTGGCCCTGCAGCTCGCTGTGCTGCCAGGGCCAAGAGTTATTAATATTTATAGAGTGACCATGCTCGGGCAGTGTTAAGGAGATCTGAAGTGACACATTCCCCCTGTGCAGTGCTAACCATGTCCAGGGGGCTGAGCCCCACGGTGGTGGCTGCACACACACATCCCAGGGGTCCCCTGCTCTGCCCTTACCCCATCCCAGGTCTGGGGCAGAACCCTCCCATGCACCCCAATGCCACAGAGCCAGGATGGAGAAAAAGAGGAGCCCCCAGCATCCTCTTACCGTGCAAGGAAGAGCCCCGGGGCCTCACTGCCTGCCCGGTGCCTCTCATTGCAGCTCCCGGTGGTCTGCAGCTGTGCAGGGTCAGGGAGGCTCTGGGCAGCCTGGGCAATGGCCTGGGACACCAATCCCACCATGTCCTGCACGAAGAGCTCCAGCGGTGGCCGGCTCACCTCCCCAAAGGCCAGCAGCCCCGGGGGCAGCCCCTCGGTCTGCAGCTCGCTGGG